TAAATACTTTCAAACACATAAGCAAAGCTTTATCAACAAATCTCCTATTACTAGGAACTGTACTAGGAACAGGTTTATATTCCAAGAGTCTTGAAGTCACCGTCTCTTTAGTGCCAGCCAATACAGATCTGCACTTTCCTATATTCCACAGTACACCCTGGCATTGCTACCCCTTCCCCGACCTGTGCTTAAAGGACTCTTTCCAATGTCACCTGCTCTTGCTCCCAAGAGACCAGGGGTCAGAGGAGAGCACCTACTCAAGCCACCACAGAACATGATTAAACAGGTGACAATCTTTTGAGGGCAACACTAGGCAGCCTACTCCCTAATCCATGTGCGATTTTTGGGATCAGGTCTTTGTTCTACCAGATATTAGTCCTACAAGGACTATTGCATACAGGTAAACAGCACATTTCAGCATAACAGTTCCCAAATTGTCAGATATGACAGACAAAGTCACTCTTTTAAAAACCTACTTGTTTCTAATATCAACATAGTCTAGTTCATATTCTAGTATCAACAACACATAACATGAAAACACCATAAAGATATAGTTCCCGCACAAACTTTTAGCTTCCTAAATCAAATGACAAGACACATCACAAAAGTGAATTTAACCATTTCTCTGCAAGCTCCTTAATAAGGTTAAGGCAACTCACCACTGCAAGGGACTAAATCATACCCTCAAACTAACACACAGCCTAGAACTCTGCTGCTCATTTCAGCTAAAAACAGGAAAACTGTGCTTCAAATGAAGTTCAAGGATGACTCTCCAACATGGCTGTAAAGTGCAAAGGTATGCAAAGGGAAAAGACTTCAAGCCCAGTGAGCTGAAATAAAACCACCTGAAGCTGTGCACAGACAAGAGCTGGCATTTGCAGTGTTTTTACAAACTCAAACTCTGAAACTTGACTTACAACAATGTTTGAGATGCTGGTGCACAACAGTGACTAACAGGCTTTTGAGATAGACGGATTACAATATAATTGCAAACAGCAAGTTATTTGGAACCTATTTATAAATGCATAGCTAAGCCAAAGACAACCAGTCTCTCCATAGGAGCCGTAAATGACCACAATCAGGAAACTCAGCTTAGTTTAAATCCTGATGATACCAAGAGGTTGTCGTGTTTAAGCTCACAAAGGCAATTAAGGTGATGCAGTTTCACTTCTAATAGCAACAAAGCTCATTTCAATTTAAATCATCCAGTTAGATTGATAACAAATAGTAACAATACCTTGAAACTTCAGCGAAGTCCTTCAGCCCAGAAGCACCAAGCCCTACACATTTAACCTCTCACTGGAATCAGTGGGAATTATATGCCTAATATCTTGCATATCTGGAGGAAAGCAAAAATCAGCTTTTATGATGCAGTCTCATGAAACATCAGCATTCCAAGAGCTTAGAAACCTGAAGTCAAAATAACTTCGTGCTTTTTAAATGCATGCCCCACATCATATATACTCTCACTCAAGCATATAAGGAATTCAAATCTTTTATTTGATATCCATAAACCCATAAACGTTGCTATTCTATATTTCTATGCAGGAAGGCAGTTTTCCCCTAAAACATTATGCTTTTTTTAATAAACAACAAACTTTAATTCTATTGCGTCAAAGGGCTACAAATATACATTTTTTTAACCAAGCAGACTACACAGATATCTTTGCTTTACAACTGGCACCTACGTTACTCGTACACTTGCTGGCTCACTTCTCAGAGCTCTTTGCCCACAGTTTAGATCACCACTTTCTGAAATATGGGCAACTGCAATTATTATTTTTTAAATTACATGCTGAGGCAGGTATTGCAAATCCGTTCCTTTCCCCCCTCCCCACCCAATCAGTAGTCAGGGACCCCATCTTGATTCAAATACAGATGTCACTGCATTCTACACCAGCCATCTAGTGGCATAAAATAACTTTCCAAAGTCTGGTACAATTGTTAGCAAGCCAGTTTTACTCCTGTTTTAAGGAAGCCCACAGCACGAGGCTGCCATCCTGATAGCAGATTGAGTTGTGAGAGCTCTCAGGGAACTTTAAGGAAGGACAATAGTTCCGAGTGAAATCTGTTAACCCAGGGCTAGGAAAACAAGTATGCCTTTAATAGAAGGGAAAAATATCGACCCTTTCCTGGAAGGAATCACACACAGACAAACCAAGGACTTGAAAACTAAGCAATAAGAAATTCTGAACATTTTATATGAATGAAGCACATGCTTAACACAAACTATTTCTTCAAAACTACACAGTACATACGTTGATGGAAAAGTCTTATAGAAAAAATTGACCAACCATGTCAGCACGCCAAGCTGCCTAATACAAGATGGTGGATGCACACAAACTGCCAAAGTGAGAACGAGTATTTAAAAAACAGACCACATCCACGGATTAGTACTTCAAAAATCTCTCTGTCGAGTGTTTGAAAGCCACTAGCAAAAAAGTCAGTTAGGACCTTTACTGGCAACAAAATATTTACTACTCTAAGTACACAGAGATTTTAAAGCAGAGGAACACTTGCTTCAAACCTAGAAAAGCCCTAAAACCGTACGGAATTGATCCTAGGAAAAAAAATTAGACATGTAAAGGTCAATGAACACAATGATTTATTTAAAAAATAAAAAACGTAAAAACCATTTTTTTCCTCCTTTACAGAAATGTTAAAAGTCAGTCATGGGATCCGAGTAGCTTTTGTAGAAAAAAACGTAGTATCCAGGCATCGAGTCCTTACAACAAAGGAACTTCCCCCCAACCCTCCCCAGTTTTAACTCCAGATCAGCAAGACACTTCCCACCCCGCACCCCCAAAAAAAACCAAAACAAGACATTTTTCGTTGCTAGTATAAAAACGACCAAGGTCCAAGTAATAATAAAAAAATAGAGTCCATCAATGACTGTAACACAAAATATGTGTATGTGGGGCCCAGTCCATCTTCAGAGAGAAAGAAGTGGCACAGGCAGCAGAGGCGACCCTCAGGGGGCATTTAGGAGCCGCTCCCACAGCAGGGAGGCATTTAAAAGGAGGGGAGAAACCATTTAGAAGCTGCCCCGTATCGAAGGGAGGGCTCTCCAAGCCCCCCCTCAATGGGTATGGGCGCTCCAGCTCAGAAAGAGCCGCCCCCGTAGCCTCCCCCACCATAGCCTCCTCTGTACGGTCCACTGTTACTGCGGCCCCCCCAGTTGCCGCCCCCTCCTCCACCTCCTCCGCCGCTCTTCATGGGGCCGTAGGAGGACTGGTGCTGGCTGTAGCTTCCGAACCCGCCGTACCCGTTGCCGTAGTCGCCGCCCCCCCCTCCGCCTCCGTAGGAACCGCTGCCATAGGAGCCGTACCCGCCGCCTCCTCCCCCGCCGTAGCCGCCGTAGCTGTTGTAGCCGCCGCCTCCTTTGGACAGCCCGTTGTGATCCCGGTTGCCGGAGCCGCCGCCGCCCCGGCCCCTTCCTCCTCCTCTGCCTCCCCGGGAGGGCCTGGAAGAGCCACCGCCTCCCCCGCCCGCCTGGATGTCCTCCTTGGGCACGGCCTTCTTGACCTCCACTCGGTGGCCCTGGATGGGGTGGAACTTGACCACGGCCGCCTTATCGGCGGCGTCGTGGTTCTGGAAGTAGACGAAACCGAAGCCGCGCTTTTTCCCGCTCTGTTTGTCGGCGATGATCTCGGCCTTCTCCACGGGGCCGAACTGGCTGAAGTGCTGCACCAGGTCCCCTTCGCCCACATCCCCTTTGAGGCCGCCCACGAAGAGCTTCTTCACCTTCGCGTGAGCGCCGGGCTTGGCCGAGTCCTCCCGGGACACGGCCCGCTTCAGCTCCACCGCGTTCCCGTCCACCGCGTGGGGGGACGCGGCCATGGCGGCGTCCGCCTCCTCCACTGCCGAGTAGGTGACGAAGCCGAAGCATCGGGAGCGCTTGGTCTGCGGGTTGAGCACGACCACGCAGTCGGTGAGGGTGCCGTAGGCCGCGAAGTGCTCCCGCAGCCCGGCCTCCGTGGTCTGCACGTTCAGCCCGCCGATGAACAGCTTACACAGCTGCGAGTTCTCCATGCTGCCACCGGTGCCGCGCCTGGGCCTGGCGCCGAGACTCCTCCTCCTATTCGGGGGCAGCTCCGGAGGTTTTTTCCCCCCCTGCTCCGTCTTGCCGCTTCTTCCCCCTGCGAGCAACGCGACCTCACGGCTGCGGCGGCCGTCAGCGGTGGCTCCCTCGGCGCGGCCCGGCGCCTCCGCTCCGCCTCACCTGATCGGCAGCACAGTCGGGACCTCCCCGGTGCCGCCGCTCCCCCGGAAAGGCGGGCGGGGGTGGGGGCGAACACAGGCGCGCACAAAATGGCGGCAGCAGCTTCTCGGGAGCGCGGCCGGCGACTGGTGCCCACACAAAGGGGCTGCCGGGAGCCCCGCCCCCTGGGCCCACCCCCCGGGCCCTCGCAGCCAATGAGAGCGGTGCGCCGGCACCACCCGCCACTCACCCTTAGGGGGCGTGGCTTCAGCCGCGATGGACGTGTGCAGCAATCAATGAAAGGGCGCGACCTCCTCAGAAGTCCCGGGGTTCGCCGACGACGGACGCGGCGGGCAGCCAATAGAGACGCGGGACGCGTTCCGCGCGCGCCGGGCGGAGGGGCGAGACATGCTGCGCCAATGCGCCGGGCCCGCTGCCGGCAGCCAATGGGACGCCGCCTCAGGCCCGGCGTGCGCTCCCTCTCCGTTGACCCCGCCCCGCGGGGGGCGGGGCAGCGCGCGGGGGGCGGGGCGCGCGGGAGCGTTTGAAACGCGGGGACCGTTGGGCGCCCCCTGCGCGAGCCTCCAATGGCGGAGCCGCGCTCCCGCATGAGGGGGGGCTCGGGGCCTTCTGTTAGAGCCACAGCGCCTGTCAGGATCCCTAGCGAGCTTCTGGCCCAACCTCCCCGCTCCGGCACAGAGCACATGGCGCAGGATCGCGTCCAGACCGTTCTGGAATATCCCCAGGGAGGGAGACTCCACATCCAGTCTGTCCCATCCAGTCTGTACTCGTCACTGCACTGTAAAGAAGTTCGTCCTCATGTTCAGGTGAAACTGCCTGTGCATCTGTTTCTGCCGTTGTCTCGTGTTCTCGTGGTTGGCACCGTCAAGCGGAGCCTGCCCAGCCTTTGGCACCGCCGCTTCGGATACGGACATTGCCGGCGCCCAGAGATGCGGCACCGGCTGGGCACGGCCCCGGCCGGGCTCCATCTGCGCTCGCTCCGTTCACTCCTCGCCCCCCCCAGCCCGCTCCTCACTCCCCTTCTCGGGGGTTTAACCCTCCGGTCCGCCCTGTTTCTGTCTGCACCCTGCCAGCGATGACTCTTCCCTCATTTGTGTCCTCCTTTCTCTTGGTAACCCGCTCACAGGACACTGAGCGGCTGCGGCGGGTCCCGAGAAGGGCAGCGGAGCTAGGGCAGGGTCTGGAGCACAAGTGTGATGAGGAGCATCTGGGGGGCTCAGGGGGGACCTTGTGGCTCTGCAGACCTCCTGACAGGAGGGGACAGCCAGGTGGGGGTCAGGCTCTGCTCCCAGGGACAAGGGACAGGATGACAGGAACAGCCTCAAGTTGTGCCAGAGAAGGTTTAGATTGGTTATTAGGGAAGAATTCTTCACGAAAACACTGTCTAGCTCTGGCACAAACTGCCCAGGGCAGTGGTGGAATCACATCTCTGGAGGGATTTAAAGACAGCACTTGGGGGTCACGGTTCAGTGATGGCTTTGGCAGTGCTGAAGGAAGGATTAGATTCGATGATCTTGACGGGCTTTTCTAACTTAACCCATTCTGTGATCCTTTCTCACTGTTCCTGCTGCCGTTTCCTTCCCTGCTTTCCAGTCCTCTTTCCAAATTTATCACAACCTACTAACCCTTATATCTCTCCTTAGCTCTGAAAAGGAGGTATTTTCTCAGAGAAATAATTTGAGCTGTTCAAGAGTGTGCAAGTCTTGTGGAATGACGAATAGTGAGATAATTTTCCTTTGTTTTCTCTTACTTTTATAGTACATTGGACCTCATGAAGACTGCAGCATTACTTTCAACTTAAGAGAATTTTTCATTGGAAAGATCGTGGGTTTTTTGGTCTTACAGCCACTGGGGTTTATGTTAAAAATTATGCAGGAGCTAAGAATGGCTGCTGTTTTGATTAGGCACTGTCATGATGTAGTTCCAGTTTCCTGAACTGATCCTGCCTTTTCCCATGTGCCAGCTCTTATGCTTCTGCAAACACACAGCGATCCATGTAAGAGAACTGAGACAGCCATAAATAGTTTTATCATGATAAAGGACTTGGTTTTCAGCTGCCTCAGCTTTCTGAAACATTTTTTGCATGACCTGCTGGTGCTGGCAGGAGGGAGGAAGCGGAACTGCAACATCCCCCTGCTACGGATCAATTGGAAATGCTCCCTTAGAGACACAGATACAAGAGGAACACTGACTGTGCTGGAAGGTTGGTTAACCACAGCCCCACAGGAAATCCAGAGAGGCTGAACACACTTTTGTCTCACGGGCTATGATTATCAGATTATCATTAACCAGCAGCATTGATATTTGCCATACAGTAATCTGATTTTACTCAGATTGGATTTTTTTGTTGTTGTTGTAGCTAAGTCTGTAGTAAGAGTAACCTATTAAATGCTTGTGTTGGACAATCACAAGGAAAGCTGTCACAGGTTTAGATCCATTTATCTCAATGCATGAATTGACATCATCATTTTATCTAGTTTAAGAAAAGAGAATATCCCATAATACCACTGAAATTTATGGTTTTAAAATAAACAAAAATATCCTACTGTATTGAATAAAAGTCTTAACAGAGGCTGTCTGTAAGCTGCACATAAATTACAGGAAATACAAAACTATATTTTGCCTACTAGTTATTGTAAGAGCTGTATGGCCCCTCACAAGATAAATTGTGTCGCGTAGAAAATAATCCATGAGAGTTTTGTGGACCCATAGTAATTTAAAGCAAAAAGGGTGCAAAATTAAGAGGAGCTGATTATGGCCTCAACAGATAACAAAGAAAACAAAGCTTGTCTACAGCACACTTTCTCTCCCTGAAAGCAAGACAGACAAGCAGGCCAAGGAACAGATCAAAGAAAAAAAGTCACAGCTTGCATCAGGAGGAAAAGATGAGGGTCTTTAAGATATGAGTAAGTCAGTTGGAAAAATCATCCTCTGACTCAATTCAAGTGTAGCCCAAATCCTTCCTCTTCATTTGCACTTTTGACTGGTTGATTATTGAAAGGACATGGCCTTTAAGACACACGTGTCTCACAGGTGGAGATGCACAAAGGCCAAACTGCGCTTGGCCTGGTGTCCTTCTGTGCCTTTGCCAGCTGCAGGAGTGACCTCGCGCTGTTCAAAACCCCTCTCGAGTTCAGTCCCTGCCCTGGCACACACATCCATGTGCCCTGGCACATCCCACCGGGCTCTGGGATGCAGGTTTGCCAGACAACTAAACATCAGCTTCTCCTGCAGATCCCACAGATCTTCATTCCTCCCAGGTCAGCCGAGCTGCCTTAGAGACTCCAGCTGGGCCTCTCCAATTCCTGTTAGATTCGTGCCTGCTCAGGCACCCAGGCACCTGAGCTGTGCAGCAATTCACTTGTTGCACACATTCTGAGGAAGTAGGTGCCTTTGTGTGCTCTCAAAATGTGTTTTTCCCTCAAGCTCTGCGAGCCAACGAGAGATACAGGTGCTGCCCCAGTGTGAGTGCAGAACCAAAGATGAGTCTCACTGTGTGTGAGATGTAAACCAGAAACACTCCAGCAGCCACAGCAGCTTACCCACAGAATTTTAAACTGCTTTTTGCAGTAAACTAGTAAATGCACAATACCATCCTATGGATATAAAAATTCTTAGGAAAACATCATGCAAAATAAATACATGCTTTTCACTTTCTGACAAGGCAGTTGCAGCATGATATTTTTTCAAATCTGATAGCAATCTATAGAATAAAAAAAATCAGCTAAAGTTTCTGAAGTTAGGTGCTTTTTCAGATAAAAGCTCCACCTGTATCATTACCTATAAAGGAAGTGTGTTTCTCAAACCATTTGCCAAATAATGTCAATTAAATTAAATGTATTCATGGGATATTTTAATTAGTGTTTTAGGAAGAAGGAAAACCAAATCGTTGAATGCACCTTTCTAGTTATCCAGAAGAAATCATACTGCCTAGATTCCACAGGAGGGCATTGCTGCTTAAGAGATTGAAAACCAGAGACATCTGAGCAGTCCCTTTCCAACACAACTTCCTGTGCTACCATATATTCTTAGTAAAAGCTGATGCAAAATAAATTATTAAGGGATTCTTTTTATCATTTTTCTTTTTCATTCAAGAAACATAACTTTCTTGTGCTATTTAATGGGTCCAAACTGCCAAGATGGAAAAGGAATAATGAAGTTTTGGAAAATAGCATGAAGGCAATAGAAAAACACTATGAAGTCAGAAGTAGTTCATAGGTGATAAATATTTTATTTAAACCTTCATACAAACACAAAGTTATGTCTTTTAACTAGTTTCAATGTCTTTAATCTAGTTACATCTGTGGCTTCCACAGTTGACAGGCATTGATTCTTTTTTTTAAGCCAATTAAGTATATCACTTGAATTTTTAATGAGTTTATTTTTTTTTGTATAATGTAATACTCTACACTTAGGCTTGGTTTGACCTTTCAGCAGACAGAAAGCATTTTGAAGCTACAGGATTCCTTCATGCAGACAGTTTGCTGAATTAGTTCTGCATTCACATTGAGGACTAATAATATCACCTTAGCTACACACACATTTCACCCAGATTTTTCTAACTGTGCATAGGTGAGAGCAGTTAGGAATACAAGGGATTCAACCGTAATTTCCCACATCCCTCTGAGATACACACACACAAAGATTTTTATTTTCATCATTTCAATGAGATGCTAGAATTTTGGAAGGCTCACTCCTACCCAAATCAACACCTTAGGCAGAGTGTAATTGTGTGGTTCATAGGGAGGCATTTTGTGTAAAAATACAGCAGCACCACGAGCATTCCCAGCCTGGCATCTTGCTTTAGTTAGGGGTATAAAATCTTGTGAAAGATGTACAGCTGTCTTTCAGAGAGCTCTTGCCTTTTTGGCAAAAGTTTCTCCCTCTGTTCTGCTGTTTGCACTTTGATCTGCATAAACATCAAACCTGTGATCTTACTTTGGAGACTTTCATGAATTAGTACTGGAGAGGGTTTTTTGTTGAAAAAGGTTAAGAAAGACTGAAAGGCAGCTAGATAGACTTTTACTTCCCTACAGTCTGAACATGACACTCTTTAGGATAAAAATCTCTACCTTGTGTATATTCAGAGGGGAATAAAAAACTCCTGTCTCTTGTATTTGCTTAATGCAAAATAAGATAACCTACAGATAAAAAGGTAAGAGAATAACCCACAGGTACTATTTCTTCAGTAAGTAATATCAAAGTTCATCTACTAAACAAAATCTTCCCGGAGCTCTTTTTAAGGGGAGTTTGCTGTAAAAGAAACACACCTTTGTGAAGGGTGAAGTGGAAAGTCATCAGAGAATTGAATTTCCATCCTTTTCTTTGGACTTAAGTTACCATTTTTCCTTAAACCCTGCCCTCCCTCCTCTTCCCTCTGAAGTTCAATTTCTCTTTTCCTCTTTCATCTTTTCACTCTTCTTTAATAATTCATTATTTCCTTTCTTCTCTTTCCTAAAATTTTATAGAAAAGCAGCCATAATTTGAAGTGATGGAATGAAAGTAAGGCAGCAAAAATACAGTCTCAAAAGTCAAGATTCCTGTGAAGGATCAAAGAATGTAGCAATGCTGTGACAGATGTGAGAGGGGAAAATTTTCACTGTATCTTACTCTGAGATAGACCAGGATCCTGAGTTTTGCCAAAGGAAGACCTAGAGCCAGCAACAGTCTCAGCCACACTGATCTTTTTCACCTGCAAATTTTTCATTTTGATTTTTCAATTAAATTAAAATCTACTTCTTTTTCTTTTCCCTTAGCTATTCCTAGACTCTAACTCTTTCTCATTCCACAAAACCTCTGTGGAGTGGGTTTGTGGTGCTTTTGCATGACTGATGTTAAGCTTTGTTTGAACACCGCAGGAAGAGCTGTGCTGTGAAGCTCAGTAAGCACCTGCCTGAAATTAGCTGAAAGACATCCATGCTATTCAAAAAATTTTAAAATGAAGTGGTGTGAAGTGAGACTTTCTAGACAGAAGATAGCAATCTAGAATTCATATTTTTAATCCAGAAAATCAAAATGCTTGTTACAATTTGAAACATGCTGGAAAATTGCAGCAGACTTAGTTTAATGGGAAAAACCTTTTGAAAACCTTTTGATTATTTAAGTATTTCTTAATTAACAATTAGGACACTGAAAGATGTCATTCCATGAGAACAGCAGGGTTTGGTGTTCACAGTGTTATAAAAGGACTCTAGAATGGGAAAAAAAACCCTAGAGATACAAATTGTCATATTCCCCCCAAATCTGTGAGCTATTGAAATAATTCATTTTCTGGCAGAGATGACTTTTGGTAAAAATGAGTTGGAGAAGTTCTAGAAAACTACAAAGAATTGAATCAGGGTTTGGAACGTGGAATCTATTATAAAATATAAATTTATGCAGTCACACTCCTATTAGAATTACTCACATATCTTGTCTCTTTTTCAGTGAGAAAAGTAACTTGGCTGACCCAAAAAATTAAGATGCTAACCTTCCAGCCAAGGGAGTGTATTCATCTCCATCTCAGCTCTGTGCCAACTGAATAAGATCCAAAAATTAGCCAACAGTTCATGGCATGACACAATTTTAAAAATTAATATGTTATTATAAGTAACTCGTCTATAGTTATATCAGATTTTTAAACAGTTGACTTTTCATTCTAGGCGTGAGCTAATTGAGAATAAAAATTGAGATAAGGCATCAAGGATATTGCAAAGTTGTCCTTTAGAGCTATGCTGTATAATGGAATGAAACATAAACTCCCATTAGTGAACATGAATTATTTTTGTGACAATTATTTCCAATTAGGAAAAAACCTCTGAGTCATGGAGCAGTGCTTCGATTATACATGTACATCCATGGAGAAAAAGCCCCAGTGCATGCTTAGCTGTTGTTAGTTTGGTCACATTATGAGCCATTTACTAAGAATCCCTTACTAGGGTGTTGATCTCTCCACAGAACAGGAAAATGTGAAGGGAGTGTGTTTTTCCTCCATCACATCATATTATCTTACTTTCATGGCATTAACCAGCACATCCAACACTAACATGAGATTTCCAATTATTCTTGTTTATTTTTCTGTGCCTCTTTGAAGTGCTATAAAGAATAGTATTTATTAGGAAGCAGCAATCCAGGAGAAAGATTTGCAGGTGTTGGTTGACAAGAAGTGCAACATGAGCTGGCAATGTGTGTTTGCAGCCCAGAAATCCAGCCTTGTCTTGGGCTGCATCTAGAGCAGGATGGTGGGGGTGGTTCTCCCTCTCTACTCCACTCTTAGGAGACCCCACCTGCAGTGCTGCATCCAGCTCTGGAGCTCCCGTGTGAGAGGGATGTGGATCTGTGGAGCGAGTCCAGATGGGACCATCAGGGCTGCTGATGAGCAGGGCTGGAGGGCTGGAGCAGCTCAGCTCTGGAGCCAGGCTGAGGGAGCTGGGAGTGCTCAGCCTGACAAAAGAAAGGCTCCAGGGAGACCTCAGAGTCCTTCCAGTGCCTAAAGGGGCTCCAAGAGAGCTGGAGAGGACTCGGGACAAGGGCATGGAATGACAAGACAAGAGGGAATGGCTTTGTAGTGACAGAGTGCAAGGTCAGGTGGGATTTGGGATGAAATTCTTGACCATGGGGGTGGTGAGTCATTGGAACAAATCACCCAGAGAAGCTGTGGCTGCCCCATGAAGTGTCCCAGGTTGGAAGGATCTTGTAACAACAGCCATATCTAGTGGGATGTATCCCTGCACATTGTAACTGGATGATCTTTAAGGTCCCTTCCAGTCTGTGATTCCATGAGCCTTCAGAGATGTTACAGGTCTCTGAACCAGCTCTTGGCCAATCTGCTGTTGAAGAATTTCTTCATGTGGGAAGCTGAGAAATTGTACATGTACATCTCTACTGAATCTTGCTTTCTGAAGAAGGAGGTTGCAACAGGCAGAAACAAAGACTGCTGTACAGTTACATAAGAGAAACAACTAAGCAAGAGCAAAAATTTAGAGTGATCTACCATCAGCAAAGATTCCTGCTGGCCAAGGAATCATGTAAATGCCAGAGCAAAAGGCAAACTCAAAGGAGTTATATGTTATTTTTCACCAACGGGTTGTTGCCAATGCTACACAAGTTATTACAAACTTTACGTTTTAAAACCTATGATGGCACTTCACCCATCACTTAATACTGAGCAATTTAGAAATGACAAGAGCATTGATAAAAAGTAGATATAATTCTGTTGTCCATTAACCTTTTTTGCAAACAGAGGTTCCAACATTTGGCTGAAAAAATACACTGTGATCCCTCCTCCAGAGCCATGGGTCCCACTTAGCATACATACCTTTGACATCAGGATTAAACACACCAAGAGCAGCTACACCCACAAGCCTTTGATACTGGATGTGATCTAATTCACCACAGGTTACAACACAATTAAATCCACATGAGGCAGCAGGTTGGTAAAACTGTAAAACCAATGGATCACATGTTAAAGGCTCCACTTTTTCCACAAATGAAGGACTGCATACAGAATTATATTAGAAACAGAGGCATGTGTAAATAAGCAATATGGCCTATGAAATTTATAAATAGAATCAGAACATCTTTTAATTTTATTGACTTACTTGCTTCATAAATAGATAATGCATTTTTATGGCTTGTTCTGATGCTTATCACACTGCATGTTCAGGTCCTGATTAACTTCCTGGGGTTACAGTGCAACCAGAAGCAGAATTTCTAAAGTACTTTGGCAAAGCTTTGTTTTTATCATAATTTTGACATAATCAAGCCCAGCAAGTTCTAGAAATGCTTTAGAAAAATATATTCACATTGCTTGATTGCAGCATTTTTGGTTAAAATATCAGAACTCCCAGACCACACCTGAAATAAAAAGAGCTGGGCTAAACTAAAGAGAAGGAAGTTTTACAGAGAGATGTTAAGGCAGTCTTTCTAGCAGTCAATTAGGCATTTGAATACCTAATCTAAGATTACCACAGATAGTTAAAAAACAGTCTGGACAAGCACATCATGAATAGCTCAAATATATGAAAAGCAGGATGTTCATCTGGCTGATCACAAAGGCTCCCTCCACCTATTTTGTTCAAATACTATTTGGCTATACAAATAGCCAACAATATTTTTAGATAATTAGTTCTGAATTGCACTTCAGTACAGCATCTGTATTGCTCATCCCAAAAATCCTACTGCTTTTTGAAAATCATTCTCTTAAAATAACCAGACTGAGATACTGGAAGTTAAGTGGACCTGGTAAAAATGCAAGAGTTTATACAGTGACTTACCAGGTTGCAGGTCCTAAGAAAAGCAGTTCTTTTCCCACTCCATAAATGTTCATTCTAAATATTTAGTGAAGAAGCTGAATGCTTATTTTTATAAACATGTGACTACAAAATGTATGGACTCTTACTGAAAAAACAGTAATAAAAATTAAGCCCCTTTTAACTATGTGCTAGTACATTGTGCCATGCCTTTCTTTTCAGGAATATTGTTTTTATCTGAAGAGTATAAGCTAAAATATCAATTTATAATGAAAAACTGATTATCTTAATTGCAATAAAGCAAATTATACACTTAATAGGATGTGCATGCTCTTTCCAAGCAGCTTATTGTACTGCTGTATCAGTTAAGAAAGAAATATGCCATCTGCAGATGTTTATGTATGAAATCCTGCAGAGGGAAAACATTTGAACTACAGAAGAGATTAAATAATTGAAAATGAAATTGCATGATAAGGTGTTTGATGGGGTGGAGGGAAGCAGCACAGTGGAGGAAAATCCATCCCCATGACTACTGGTCCTTCCTCCTCCCTGCTCACTGCTGTTTGCCTCTTCTTGGATTCCAGAGCTTGTTTTATTCCTCAGCAGCCTTCCTACAGCCTGCAGATTGAGTACTGTTGGAAACTGGGGATCTGTGGTTTGTTTGAGACAGAGAAGAAAGGAGAGTTTAAGTACTGCTTTAGGAGACATGGCTTTGCTCTGGATTCTTTTATACAGAAAGAAGATGTGTTTGCTGGCTCTGAGAGAAAAGGAAAATTGTTAAAGGCAGTGTGGATATGACTTGAATTTTTCATCAGGTAAGAAGTCAGAAAATCCATAAAACTATGACCAAAGTTACTGAATTTTTTTAAGGTATTATTTTATTCTCTACAACATATATTTAAAATTGAATGTAAATTTTCCTCCATGTTTTATCTGTGCAATACTTAGGAACTTAATAAACAATGCTTGTAATTGAAACATTTACTGGTCACCTGGAAAGGATGGGACTATTCATCTTTAGCACAGATAAGAAAATACTTATGAAACAAAGCCTTTCTAAAATCCTTTTATTTTAGACCTTTCTTTTGCTTATGAATGTTTCAGTAATGCTTCTGCAGACAGAGGAATGAAACAAGACTGAGGGGTTTATAATAACTTACAGTGTTAAACTCTTGCTGTGGTAGAGAATCTTTTCCAAAACACATGGATTAGGGGTTGAAGTAATTAGTTCATTTTGTTAAACACTTCAATTCTGGTATCAGCTGTAGTTGCGATCTGAGGGTGCTGATTCCAATAACATTTATTTATTAGATTAAAAAATGCCAGTATAGTTCAACATGCTGCAGTTAATACTAGAGTAACTTGTTTTTTAATACTGTGAATACTCCAGATGTTTACCAAGACAGATGTAATTGTTTTATTGCCAAGGAAATATTTAAATTACCTCAGAATGGTGTGTACTAAAGACTGCACTCTTTAACTCCCGGCACAACCAAAGAGTGAAAAGAAATCACATTTTCCTGAGAAAAGGACAGTGTAGATGGAGAGTGTGCCTAAAACTCATGTAGCAAGTGAACCAATAAGATCAGTACAGGGACTTTTCCCAAACAGAAAATGTCAGAGAAGCCCTACCATCCTGAATTCTTGGGAGAGGACATTCAGAATTTGCTATCAAACTGTGTTGTGCATCCACGGAGAAATAAGCAAGCTTAGCAAATAGTGCATAAAATATTGCAAACTTGGCTCAGCCTCATGGCCTTTTGAGTCCCCACAGCTTCTCCTGCTCACGTAAAAAGCAGGGAAGAGCAGAGTTTGTCTGTAAAGGTATCAGATCTGTGCCAGCCAGGTGGACACCACAGGCACTGCAGAGAAAGTTCACCCTTGGGGCAAAGCAGCCAGACTTTAGATTTTCACATTTCTGAATTGGCAGTAAATCTCATAGGGGCAACATCTGCCACTGTTGGTGGTAAATCCAACATTTAGTGCCTCTGTCCCTGTAGCACATGCATCCTGCCCCAGGGAAAGGTGGGTGACAGTGCATTCCAGGAAACAGGTGGCCTGAAGGAGTTGTTGCCCAGCCACATCATCGGGTTCTGTAGGATGTGACTGTCAGAGTCACAGTCCCTGGCCTCTCTCCTGGACTCAGGAGCAGAAGTTTGTGGAGGCTGGTGGGCACACAGCAGAGCACCCAGCTCTTGCTCTGCTGAAGTAGGGACATCTGCAAGGGACTGCAAAATCAATCAGAGCCACCAGAATTCCATAATTTTTTTGCAGCAGGATTGTAGAGTTTTCCATGACATTCCCCAATATAGCTTTAAACAAGCCAGGTACATTCTTTAGGGACACTACAGGGCTTAATGCTAGCCCTGACCACAATTTAAGTCATTTTTTGGGACACATATGAGTCACATATATCTACAGCCACTTCCCACTCTTAACTTGTGTATACTGATTGAAAAGGGCATTTTAGACCCTTTTCAGAATGAGCGTGGTAGTAGAGGCTCCAAAGGTGAGCATGATGTTTTTTTGGAGATTTTTTAGAATCCTAATTTGAAGCACCCAAACTTATGTCAAACAGAAGTATCAGGATAAGGCAGTCTAGGATGTAACTTTGGTTGGAATATTCTTTGAGTGTCTGTGGGAAAACAACTACAGAATCATAATTCCAGTTTAACCATGGATTTAATGTTTGATTTTGTACAGGCAGCCAAATATTTTTTAATCCTTAGTGATTAAATAATGGCAATCATTTCTGTGAAAGGGCTGACAAATCTACATATAAGAAGATTATTTCTAGTAATAATAAAACATCCACCTAGCCCTTTTTCTTTTTGTGTATCCTCTAACTTCCCACTGCTTCTTCATTCTCCTTTCTCCACAGGCTCTCAACGCCATTACTAGGGCTGAAGAATGATTTCCTTCCAGCTAGTTTTCCAATAATTTCACAGGGGAATTAAGGTGAGTTAAAGTTGAGTTTTGAAAGATATATGTGTAGAACATGTATCTATTACCCATTCTTAAATTTTTAAATACTCTTTTCATACTTAGCTTTTCCTTTCCCAGGTAGGAAACAACCTCTTTCTGGCCAGAAAGCTGGTAAGCCTTTAAATTAACTTTTGCACTCAGTGATAAATTTAAGCCCATCAAGATATTCTGTTGAACCTAACGCTTCCCATTAATATTAGTTTTAAAACCACAGAACTGTGCTAATATCAGATTTTTTTGCTTGACTCCTGTTTAAGTTAGGGCTGAAAGAGGAAAACTGTATAACTACAATGTGAGCATTATTTTGTTTACATTTTTCTCAAGTTACATTTAGGAAAAAGTATATACTATCCTCAATGCATCAGTACAACAGGAAACTTCCTTTAAAATATCATTCATAGAGGTTTTGAATGCCATTTCAGCTCAAGCACACATAATTTTGATTAACTTAGGAGGATTGAGTGTATTAACTCACATTGCTTTGTAGTTTCAAAGAAAATCTAAGTGTGATGTCTAAGCTAGCAGAGTGATGGCAGTACCCAATTCTTTCCTGGTAATACAAAAGCAACAGATTATGCTCACTGGAATCCATTAAACCTTCTTAAATCTTCAGCAGAGAAAGATCTTGGAATACTTTATTCTGAAAGGAAAACTTCATCCACAACCGCTAAAAGAGGATTTGTATGAAAGTGTCCGTACAAGTTTAATCAGAGCTGCTATCACAGCTTTTTCTTGAACGTCAGTTATAGATCTGTAGCACTGTCAGTGCAGAACCTCAGAAAGGTGACATCAACCCCTGTCCACAGAGATACATAAACCCACTAAAAACCATGTGCTTATCCAGTACTGTAATTAATCATGTTAGATTTGCTCGAAACTTTAAGGACACTGACTACAATAATAGACCCACAGTACTCACTGCTTTGAAAATCTCTATGCAAAATAAATAATACAAGGTTTTGTCCATAGGTTGGAAGATGCTTCAGGATGGATAAAACTGTTCAGCATCCCAGTGAGATCCTGAATCAAACTATCTCTAACATTAGCCTTTCTCAATTCTTGAACTTTGATGCATGCCAACTTTCCTTCCTTGCAGAATTCTTGCTTATTACAGCTTACACAGTGGTTACACTAGTGGGGCTTGTTGGAAATCTTTGCTTAATTATTATAATAAAGAGAAGGAAAGAAGCTCAAAATGTCACCAACATTTTGATTGCCAACCTCTCTGTATCAGATGTCTTGATCTGTATCATGTGCATTCCTGTCACAGTTGCATATACCTTAATGGACCACTGGATATTTGGGGAAGCAATGTGTAAAATAGGCTCTTTCATACAAAGTCTATCTGTCACAGTCTCCATTTTCTCACTTGTACTCATTGCTATTGAGAGATATCAGTTAATTGTGAACCCACGTGGCTGGAAGCCCAGTATTTCACATGCTTATTGGGGAATTCTTTTCATCTGGGGGCTTTCCCTCATCATATCCACTCCTTTTTTAGTATTCCACCAAATTACAGATGAACCCTTCAAACATCTGTCTTTCCACAGTGATTTCTACAAGAACAAAGTTGCTTGCATCGAAGCCTGGCCATCTCTTACAGAGAGACTGATTTTCACTACTAGCCTGCTGGTTTTCCAGTACTGCTTCCCACTGGGGTTTATTTTTATCTGCTATCTCAGGATATTTGTATGTCTTCGAAGGAGACGAGGTAAAATTGACAGGAGGAGAGAGAATGAGAACAGGCTGAGTGAAAACAAAAGGATCAATATGATGCTGGTATCAATTGTTGTGACCTTTGCAGCTTGCTGGTTGCCTCTCAATATATTCAATGTGGTTTTTGACTGGAACTACGAGGCATTAATGAGTTGTAATCATAACCTGGCATTTACAATCTGCCACCTTGTGGCCATGATCTCCACATGTATCAATCCCATCTTTTATGGATTTCTGAACAGGAACTTTCAGAAGGATTTGGTTGTATTAGTTCACCACTGCAGATGCTCAGGATCACAAGAGGAATATGAAAATATTGCCCTTTCAAACTTGCAAACAGATGCATCTAAGGGTTCTCTGAAGTTAAATAATCCCCATGTGGATATATAAAATAATCTAACTGTAGTTTCCAAAATTCTATATTTTATTGCAGATGGCCTTTTTCTGAAGCTCTTGGTCATGATACCACCAAGTTTAGAGGAAGTCTTTGTCATTTAGTTCAGCAAAACCAGGATTATGCTCCCATAGGCATACTCTTAACAGGTACTTTATGATAGTATTAATGCTGATAAACCACTTCCAACAGTCCTAAAGATCAATAATAATAAATCATAAACAGTATTAACATCTGACTTTTTTAATCCACAGTTTCCAAGTCACAGGCATGGTACCTTAACTCCAATAAAAATGTTTCCATTTCAACCACTGATGGGGATGTCCTTCCTAAACACCTGGCTTCCCCCAGGGAAACCCTGAACACTATGATATTCCTAACTTCAGAAGCCTTTCACACATTGTTTTCTGGCATTTTTATTTTCCAACCCTACATCAATACCCTCCCTGGTTAATCTGCAGTTTAGAGGCAGTTCACACTGTAAAGAAGACCTTTGAAGTTATCCTAAGACTCCACCACCTTTCTTTCAGCCCCTTGATGCAGTTTGCTTTGGCTTAGTAACAATTCAGCCCAGAAATTGCTAGAAAAGGCTAGAGCTGGACTTTTATATCTCTTTATGAACACAGAACGGAACCCATTTGATGTACTGCAAGTTTCACTCACAATAATGTTGTTCAAGATGAAATATATATTTAGCATCTCTCCTAAAAGCATTGCGTTCTCCAAACCACCAGTAAAGATCATTGCTTTCTCTCTTAGCATCATCACTGCTCCTTATAACAGACCTTTTAGAATATCTGTTACCAAAAAAAACCACTATGGATTCAGAGTAAATTTAGTCTTAGCTACTTATTCAGATTTCTCTTTGAGTAGAAAATTAGTTTTGCATTTTAATTTCAGCAACATTTTTCCCCGCATTTTTGAGCAAGAGGGCACACTTGAGTAGATTTCTGTTCACAGAAACAGTTTCTGTGTTTGAAAATAGTTTATTTTGTAACACAGTGCAAAGAAGCCTAAAGGGAACACAACTTTCACAACTGAACACAACTTTTCTTAAGCATTTTAACAACCACTTTCCAGTGTGGCCATAAAAAAATAGCCAAACTTCTTCATCCATGATACAGTGACAACATAAATAATCAGCAACTACTGAACTGTTTAAATACAGTACTTAGAACACTTTAGTCCAAAAATTCACCATGCTTCCTCTTGTTCAAATTAAGTATAATTAATTAATTGTACTGCTAAAACTCCTTTTTTTTCTTCTGAGTTTCAAAACCCCCTGTTCTAACACTTTTACTTAAGGTTCCTTGTAAAGTATTTTCTAACTTCAGCAATTTATTAATGCCCCACTTAAGCAAAAAGAATTCACATTCAAATTACAATGAGCTCCTTGATGACTCAGCTGTGATGAAACTCACCTTAAGGCTATAAAGTTCTCTTGGAGAGGGAGCAGCACTTTCCACAGCCATCCAGTTCCTAAAGGGTTTGGTCACAGTTCTCTTGTTCCAGCATTCGTTCAGTCTGCACCAGTCTGCTCATCAGAGGAGCTCTGTCAGAAGAGCCTCACCAGCTCGTGCAGATACTCAGGTTGTGTAAGTGCCCCTGATTCACACGAAGATAAAAGACCTCGGTGAAATCTCTTCGTGTCTGAGCCCATAGAAGTTTTAAGGACAGCCCCATCACAAGAGCAAGAATGGCAGAATAAGTGACATGGTAATCAAGAGTCTGAGTGATAGGTATGGATTAGCTTTGGCATAATTTAGGGTTTTTTTCTAATTAAATCAAATATCATGCATTTGGAATCTATTACACAAACTTTAACTTAAACATTTGCCTTGTGCATCATAGAAAAGAAACCAGGAGACAGATAAATACCTAATAAAGGCCAATGATCAGACTGTTGAGAGTATCACAGTATTAATATTTCTATGAACTTCAAACCAGGTCACTGGCCTGCCTTTATTGCTGATTTACATCATCTGTTTGTTCAGCACAAGAGGCATTGAATCAAGTTAAAAGCAGTAACTTGCAGTCAATGCCACTGAGACCATGCATGTCAGAGGGGCTGGCTGTGCTTTGGTGAAGGGGAGGGGATGGAATGGAGCTGCTTTTCTGACCACTGAGATTCCTGGGTAACAAAGTGATCATTGTTTTCATTGCACCTGGCTTGAGTGAAAGCAAATCTATCCAGGAACTTCACTTCTCTTGGGGATCCTGGTACCTATATTGAAAACCGTCTACTGTCAGAAGGTCATTCCCTGAACAGCATTTTAACAAATGCTGGTGTCACACCTGCTAGAGGCTGGGCTATCAACTGTATTTCCCTGGGTCAGGAATACAAATCTCTATCACCATCTTCCTCAAATTTAAGTACACACTTTATAGCTTCAGGGCCCATGCTTAAAGCATTTTACAAACACATGACATTCTAAATTTACTCTAATTTATTAATAATAGCACAGCAGTTCAGATTACTCTCACTGATAAATGTCTCAGAGAGTATTTAATGTTTGAATCAGGCCCAGCTGAGATCCTCATGTGTGAACATGGCCCAAGTGGCTCCCATCTCATTGACAAGCTTACTTTTACAGTAGAGGTGGTTTTAGTATCATAAGTGGTTTTAAAACAGCCATGAAATGAATTCTGGTTCAGATTATGTGGTGCTGATGGATGGTCTCTCTACTGTCTCTCCATAGAAGTGCTTGGGCAGTATGCATTAGACAGGCAAAAAAAAGATTGCCATCACTTTTTGCAATACCAATTGTCTACTCCTGACATCCTGATCAGAGTTAAGCGCTCAATCTTTCCTTCCAGTCTGAAAATCTTGGTATAAGAGGGTTCTTCATTAGCAGGTGGAGCTCTCTGAGCAATGACACTGCTTCAGAATCAAAAGTGAACAATAATACTTGTGCCTTGATTTTTCCTTCTCATTTCTTTCTCACACTTTCATTTGACTCAAGTGTTGATGGATGCTCCATTTCTGTTCTGAGCATTCAGTCACCAAGTGTCTCTCCTTAATGCTGCACTTGTAACAATCATTGCTCATGGAGCAGAGGACCCTCGCTGTCTCGGAGACGTCACCCTCAGCGCAGCACATTCTCTCACTACATCCACTGGCTTCCTGTGCATCCTGATACTGAACTTCCAAGCAAGTCAGCAGGAGCCAAATGACTGTGACAGGAATAGGAACAAAGTGTAATTACTTGTTTTTAAAGCATAAGTATTATGGACTCCAACACAGTGTGTGACAGTGGTAAATGTAACTGCAATACCTAATACTTAAAGATTACTCGAGTTAAACTGGCAAAGGTTGCCCTGTCTTGGGTAATGCTGATGACTTTATTTTCCCTTGTTTTATTGGTATAGCCAAGTAGAAGAAATACTAACAGCCTTTCTCAGCAGAAAGTTGTTACCTGATGCAACCAGCTGGAGGACTGTGAGCTTCCTTGGGGGAGCAGCACCATGGAATTAACTACAGAAAGCTAGAGTGGGAGCCTGAACTCCCAGATGCTATTCCAGTGTAGAAAGTCTTAGTTTTTAAAAAATAAAAACTGTGTCAGAGTTTTGTTTGAATTATTTGGTCATGCAGACCAGACCAATATATTTATAAACATCCTTGTAAATGAACTGTGTCCTTACATGTCTGTGTATTTTATGGTTGATTGGTTTCACTTTAAGCACCTATAAGTAGGGTTAGATACTTGGGAACTGGCATCCACTGTGGAAATGATTCCATTGAGTAAAAAGCTCAATTGATTATTGACTGTAATCTTGTCTGTGGACAAAAGCAGTGCCAGTACTGTTTGTGATTTAAAGACTTTGATTTCTCCCATTGTCTGAGAAATAAATATTACACTGTGTAAAACCATCACCCTGCCCAGCTGGTGAATTGTACTGTCTGTAACTGGGATAGGACCCTTCTCATTCAAACAGGGAACCAGAACACCAAGAATCACCAAAAGGTCCAAAGAAAGATCCAAAGGTCCAAGAGAGGTCCAGAGCCTGCTGCAGGTCAAAGGGATGGCCATGGAGCAAACAGAGCATGGCTCAAGGGCACCGAGGTACTCAGGAAGGGATCTGACCAGACTTCAGATGTGTGAGGGAGCTGCTGACCCAGTGGAGACAAATGAGAAGGAGGAGAGGACACAAAGACTCCTCTGAAAAGGGGTGACCTCCAGAGATGTCCTGACAAACCCAGAAGGGTACACTCCAGAAATAGCAGTGTGCTAAGGTGGCCCTTTAAAGCATCAGGATGAGAGAAGAGGGGGAAAAAAAGACACAAGTAAAAAGCAACAGGGTATGTGACAAACAAGAAAAAAACTAAATAATAGGAATAGCCAGCTCAATAAAAGGAGACAAAAAGAAAAACTTTGAAAGCTAAGGGTACAAGGCAGAGGAAGAAAAAAATTAAAATAAGGACAGAAAAATAGATAAAAGTAGACATAGAAAAGCAATTTAAAAATGAGAGTGAATCTGTAGAAAAGCTTTGAGAAACCTCACAATGAAGGGTCAGACAGGCTGCAGAATTGAGTGGAATCTCATAGACTCCATAAACAACATTGTCCTTTCAATTCTATGCTAATAAGACACTTAGAAATATTCCACAATGGCAACTGTAGAATTATCTTGTCTGCTATCACTCATTTTTAAACAAGGTTCTTTTGGTTTCCATGCAAATGCACTGACTGATGCCTTTTATTTAATTTCCATTTCATTTCATTTCACTTCATTTCATTTCTTACATTACATTTCATAGATTTCTCCATTAGTCACAGGCTATTTACATAATGTGATGGAATTGGCACATGTGGAGCTATTCTCTGCAGAATTCACTTCATTCTCGTACCTGGTGAGGAAAACCTGTTAATTCATGTAGATGTCACGGTTTTAACAGCTCCATGAATTATTTCTTCCAGCCAGGAATTGCTACTAGAGTCACAAGAAGTTCTGAAAGTTTAGGTTCCCTCTAACGAGAATCTCTTACCTGCCAGTTCCATTTTTGGTTGGAGACTCCTACAGTCCTTAATTGCA